TTATGTCCAAAGTTGATTGGACCTAGGGCATAATACTTACAACTAGGGCCTAGTTTAACCAACATTCTTTCAAAAAAAAAATAAATTCTTCAATAGTGATTTGATATCATTTCAACTACACATTCTTCAATAAAATAATATTACAAACAAATCCAATTTTTTTTTGTTTTTAGTTTTTAACCACACATCTCCTATCAATATACTATTCAAAAATGCATTCTTGAAAATAACGTGGCTCAAACAAGGGCTATGTGCATATTTGGTTCTAATTTTTCACCCAAAAAAATCAATTTTCTGACTGTTGCTTTCCTAACTCAGCTATCATTTTTTACTTTTTCTCTTATAGATGGAATCAACTTTTCTATTTAACGATAAAAAAAATCAATTCTCACAATCACAACCGAACAAGCTCTAGATTTATTTACAATACATGGAATTTCAAATCTTCTGCCTTCCTGTGGTAAAAGCAAAGATTCTCTGGCATAAAAAATCTAGATTTCTTTTACTTTTCGAGGAGGTAAAATTTCAAATATCTGTTATTACAAGTACTGATTTTTTCAAATTTTAACGGGCAAAAAAAGAAATAAATAAATAAATAAATTCAATGCCTATATTGGTCATCACAAAATTACTTGTCAAGTTGTCTTTAACCAAAGAAAAAAAAGAAGAATCTTCCAAATGAACCTACCCATCTTATTATCAACTCATTCCAAATACATATGAACAACATAAATGCCAATATCACGTGCACGAAAATTTATCCCTGAATATTGAAATTTCCAAATGTAGCACACATGTACATATGTTGAGAAAAGTACTCACGAAGTGTGGGGTTTCGATTCCTGAAACATGGAGTTTGATTTTTTGTAAACGCAGTGTATAGACAACTCTTGTTCCCTGGCCTGTTGGGATATATCCTGTGATTTACCTCTCTCACAAAACTCTAGAGGCGGGATAGTGGGACCCTCAAGGTTGGGGTTTGACCTTTTTTCTTTTTCTTTTTTTTTTTTTAGAAAAGTACTCACCATGACAACTGCAAAGACTTCTTCACATTTAGCCTCTGCTTCTGCAATTTCAACAGCGGGCCGAATTTTCGCTGTGGCTCAATTTTAGACTTAGCCAAATTAGAAGGGGCCTCTATTTGTGAAAGTTTAGGAACAAAAAATGGCTGTTTCGACGAGGCGAGTCTGATGAAAGAAATAGAGCGTGAGAGAAAATTGAGATTAGTTTTGAAGGCTTGAATGGCGGATTTCTAGTTCTGAAGATAGCTTAGATGTTGCAAAGGGACAAGAACAGAGTGAAAGGCTCGCCATTGTAGAGGGAGTGGGTGTCTTTGTATTGGGCGATGCTACAAGTATATCTCCTAACTAAGTCCACCTATTAGAAGTTGGGTCCCTTCCATACGAGGGGTGAACATAAGACATCGCATTATATATAAGTAGCATATTTCGGCTTTATTTGAATTCCTTGAAGAAGTAATGCTTTTCATGGTGAAAATTATTGGTGATCGCTCTACATGATATACATGTGAAGGTTTGTAATTTGATGCATTAATATGAAAGTTTTTTATTGACTTATGCACAAAATCACAATTGACACATGTATGTCACGTAAGACGTCTACTTATAGTCTTCACTATAAATAATTTTTTTTTTTTTTTTGAATGTATTAGGAAGCCTGTCAGCCCTATCCTATTCTTTCAGAGTGAAATGACTTGTGTACCCTCAACATTTTACACTGGCGGGAGAGCGGTTAAGATACACCAAGCTATGAAACCCGTTCAAGTAATAACACCAAATTAATCAGCCATTTATTTTTAAATTTTAAAAATTGATCAGTACCACTTTTTATTCTAAATAAAAGAAAAAAAATTGTATATCACATTGTTTTAGTAAAATAACATGTTATATTATGAATGAATAAGTATAGAGCAGATAAATCCTAAATGAGTGAAATACATAAAGCTATACAAGTATAAGAACGTTTAAGAAGGGTATAAATTCACACAATGTAATGGCCTCTTATGATCCGCCGTTTGCCCGTTTACCATAATGGTACAGCTGAAAGAAGTTTGAAACTTGGATGAGGTAAATGAAATAGTTCAGAGTCCAGTGGCTACAAGAGACGCTAAAGTTGAGTTCGGTGATAGTTGGTAGTGTTGACCACAAAAAATTAATGCGATAATCGCAGCAAAAGCTCTAAATCTTTAAAAGACTAGCAGACTTTTCCTAAATTTTTGATTTGTTGCAACCATCACCTCTAACATTTCCAAACGCTGCAGGTAAAGCCCTTTTTGACAGTTTTAATCCACTATTTCGTTAGTTGACTAAAAATTTAACTTTGACCATATTATAATCAATTTTAATGAGGGTAAAATGATACTTAACAAAATAAAAAAAGAAAAAGAAAAAGAAAAAAAATGGAGAAACTATACAATCTTCTTCCCAAATACACCAGTCAGCAAGCCCTACCCAAACGTGGCAGGTAAAGCCCAAACTCTCATTTTTTCCTAAGTTTTTCCTCTTGAATTTCTTGTATTTGAATTCAATTTTGTATTCGTGAGGGATCCTATTCTTCAGTTGTGCAATGACCTATTTATAGGAGTTTAATAAGTTCGTCATGGTCATTTTTACAACTTATATTTTTTTCATCAGTGTAAGAATTCATGATTAAGCCTCCATTAGGGCTCCATTTTAATTTTAATGCAAATTTTTTTTTTAACCACGCATTCTTCAACAAAACAATATTACATGTAAATCAAAAAAATTCTTCTTTTCAACCACTCCTCTATTCAGGTAAGCCTTGGTGATCGAAGCATTCTTTTGTTCAAAAAAACATCGACAATTGATGCATAAATGTTCATTCCAAGACTAATTGAGACAGGAATTGGATCCTTTTCTATAGCAGACATGACATTCAGGTGAATCGTAATAATCTTTTGATCGAACATTGTTCTTCAATCCAAATTTCATATTATAAGAATTGAAGAATTTTTTATATTGCCTCTAGCATCGAAATCTTAAAAGTACTTAAAAGTTTCTATCCTATCCATTGCACAACTTCTCTTTTTTCGTTAAAACATCATATTGAACAGAGATCAAATCACAATAAATTGGCTTCCATTGATCTGAGTGATCTTGTCCGCGAGGGTTATAACACTTGAAGGGTTAGCTATTGTTTACTCCAAAGCATTTATGCTGAAATAAGTCTAAAGCTTAATGGGCATTTATGTCAGAGGAAGACTGAAACTTGCAAATTTGACCATTTTATTTATGTAGAAGGGAATCTGAAGTATTACATGCTTGTTGGCAATGTTTAAATTAAATTAAATTAATCAATCCCACAAAATGTATGAAAAAATTTGAGTAATAAGTTGTTAGTTCATAAAATATCTAGATAAAATGTGTGCTTGGCCAAATGATATTATAATTTAAACTTTACTAAACATAGATATATATAGATAAGATTTTAACCCCATTTTTCATCTTCAATATTTCTATACCATTTGCATGTGAGATCTTCCAACCTTCAATTCTGGAAAGTAAAAAAAAAGGCCATAAAAAGTTGTATGGTGATTGACGGGTAATCTCAAACATTACACTTCGCTTTTATTTGGTGGAAATTAAATTCAAAATTTTAATTTATATTAAAGTCTAAATTAGTTTCAACCATATGTTTCATGGGATTCAGAATTTTTCGACAACATATTTTATCAATTTTTATTAAAATCTATTAAAAAATTTTGATTTTAATCTTCACTAAACAAATGTTTCACTCACACCTAGTGTTCTAAAAAGTTCGCCTATACATAGGGGTGGCAATGGGCCGAGCCGAGCTAACTCTGCCCATCTACCCAAGAGCTCGACTCGTCACTTTGACAAGCCGAACTCGTCAAGCTCAGTTTGTTTTTAAAATTTTTCTTGATTTTTTTGGTCCCTTTTTTACGAGCCTTGAACCCACGAGCCATTCGCTTGTGTGTGAGCCAAGCTAATTCGGCTCGTCTAGCGAGCGGGCCAGCTCAGCTCGGGCTCGTATTTGGACGAGCTCAAGCAGCCTACGAGCCTCCTTCTTAAGAACCAAGCCGACGAACCGCTCTGCTCGATTGCCCCCCTCACCTAGGCACCACCTAGGTTCGAAGCTTGGGCAAAACGTCTCCCTTCTCGCCTAATTGCTTTTTTTTTTTTCCAATTTCTAAATGGTTAAATTTTTTCCTTAATTTCTTTCGCCTTCCATAGATGCATTTTATTAGTTTTTTAAGTCTTTTATTTAACTTTAGCTTATTACTATTTAAAAAGAAAAAAAACTTTCATTTGACTTTAATTTCAAGTTTTGAAAAAAATTTCTGTACAAAATTTAAAAAATGACTTTATCTAAATAGTTAAATAAGATTTAACTTTTTGCGTTATCTACATTATGTAATTATGATCTTGAAACTCATTTGATTATAAACACCAAAAGCATGTATAAAGTTCCTATAAATCTATTATGTAAGACTTGTCTAGTTAAAAATTGAAATTATGAAAAATATTTTAATTTTTGCATTTCGAAAACTTGAAAATTGTATAATTAACTAATGGTTGGAGTTATTAAGTAAATATTGTATGTTGTAATTTTATATATTTAATATGCATTATTTTAATTACTAAATAATTTTTAAAATGATTAAAAATTTAAAATAAGAAAATGTTTTTTTAAGTATAGACTAGCTTAAGCTCATAAAACTTGAAAATTCAGCTTCGCCCCTAGTCACACTTTATACTTTATAGAACAATGCTTACACTTGAACAAGAACAAACAAGGTTTTATTCAGAAGTATCTATTTATTTTCATCTTGATATTTAGTGCATAAAATAACCGCTCGATACAAGTTCTTCACACAAGCAAGTTCCCTGGTGGACCGGGGTCCAGCTGGAGTGTTCGGCTGGGATCGACCTGAATAACGCCAGGCATTTCTGCCACAATAGTAACCAATCAATTTTCTGGATAATAGTAAATTGATAAAAATGAACAAAATTCAAACTTGACATTCAAGAAACAAATGCGTAGAGGGTGGGTTCATGGCTACAAAAAAGTTGGACTCGTTTCATATTCCATGTGCAAGCAGAACCAAATATCAAGAAGACTACTTGTTTTGTCAAAAATGTCAGAGTTTACGTCCATATATGCTCTACTAATGAATAAATAACACAACTTAACCACATGTTTAATATTCACAAAGTGGAAATTAACTCCTATGGAAGTTCTTGACTTAGATGAAGAATGACACAAAGTCTAAGAGACAATCTTTAGAACATTTGCTTTCATCTACATTTCGCAAGATCAAAATAAGTTTTAAATTTACCTTTTTAGGACTCAAACTCAGATAGAAATCACAATATTCTTTTGAGTTTATTTGAGCCTCACTTTTTGGGAAAATAGATTTTGTAACAGTAATTTTATTTTATTTTATTTTATTTTGGGAATATGTGGTTAAAAAGTAGATGAAAGTTTTGAATTTAATGTAAAATCATTTTATTGAAAAATGCGTGATTGAAAATGATTTTGATGAAAAATGAGTTTTAAAATGATGGTGATCGAACGGGAGCTTTTAATTCCGTCCTCACAAAACCACATCCTTACAAAAGTATAAGCATGGGAGTTGTTCAACTCAAGCATCTATGCTGTATAATGTGAATTAGAAATCCTAATTCTATTCCACTAGGAGCAATAAAATCGCAGTTAGGAGATAAAAAAACACAAAAGAACACACAAGATTTAAAGAGATTCGTTTCAATGTGAGACGATATCATCGTCTGTAGCTACAGTAAAATGTTGATCCGTTTATAGTTTGCGTAGAAGCAATAATTAGGCTTCACAGCTTAACATTATGTATCAATACAGTTATCAAGATTTATGCATTTGAAACCATATTTTTATGGTGTATTCAAAGACACGGATCAATGACGTAGGAACACCATGGAATGTAGATATTAATGTTCCTAGGTATCAATTAAGCAGAGGACTGATATATAAACTTCAACTTAAATCTTGACAAAACTAGTTTCATGCTGTTGTTTCCAGTTGAGATCCTTTTCGTGGATGTTCCAAATGGCATTGTTGAAATGCATTTGGGAAGGACTGAGTATTAAATTTAGAGGAAACATATGCACGCTGGGCAAATGCCCTCAGCACACAAACTTTAAAACTACGAGCATGTTTGGCTAAGATTAAAAAGTTAACTTATAAACACAAGCCTATAATTTCTCCAGCTTCAGGGAGAATGAGAAAACTTACTCGACAGCTGAGACGCCTGATCGGGAGTCAGCTTAGCAGAAAATCCATTTGCAGCATACTTGTAAATGTATATCAAAGCTTCTTTCGCAGCATCCTCACTTTTAGCATACCCATAACAATTCAAACAAATCCATCAATACCCGTCTTTAAATACATTCACAAATTCCATTGCACATTTCAGGGAAAAAGAGTAGTGAATTTTTACAACAAGCATGAGACAATTGAATATTACATTGTGATTTGTTGGAACAGCAAAAACCCAGTTCACAATAGATTTACTTATATATTTAAACCCAGATCATGATAGGATCACTCTACTAATTTAAACCCAGCTCGTGATAGAATCATTTTACAGATAGCATACAAAGTTCGTGATAGGACCATCTATAAATTCAAACCCACTTCGTGGTATGATCATTCTACAAATTTAAACCCAGATCAGATGATCATTCTATAGATTCAAACCACATGGGTGGTCACGTGACCCCCCCCCCCCCAAAAAAAAATTTGAGGTCTTTTTTCTATGTTTTTATCTTAATTTTCGAAGTGATTATGAGATGTCAAACGAAATTGAAATATTACGTTCTTAATATTATTTCGAAATACTCACGACCAAGTTTTCTACGTTAATGGCACGTGAAACGGCCAACCATAGCAAATGTTACGGTTTGTCAAATTAGGCTAATTCAAACTAGTATTTCGAGAATTTAGATAACATGCTAACTTTGAAATTTTTTTGATGATCGTATGCTAGCCGAATCCACAAATCACCTATATCATCTTGAAGCTCATTTCAAGAACTATATAATAGGTATATTGAATGGTTCATACATAAATCGAAAATAGTTCAAAATACATTATCTTAAAAGAAGATTTATAAGTCGTATTACCAGTGTGTGATGGGATTGTTCTATAAATTCAAACCCACTTTGTGATAGGATAAACCAGCTCGCGACACGATCATTCTAAATATTTTAATCCAGTCCGTGACAAGATCATCTCTAAATTTAAAGGTATAAATTTAAATACAAATATAAAAAGAAAAACAATACAAACCAATAGGGGGGAAAATTGAACCTGCCAAGAACAGATGAAAGGGTCTTGATAGCATAGGCTTCGGGCTCTTGTCCTTCGGGCTTCTCGGTGTATACTATGTAAACTTTAGCTTCAGACAACGATGAATCGGCGGCCGTAGCTGTTCTCGAGGTCAAGAACAAAAAGAAAATGGTGAAGAGAAAGAAGTGGATTTTCTGCATAACTTTCTTCAAAAGTGGAATTTATTGGGACTTCGATTTGATTATGAAAATCCCAAATTGTGCAGATTCTTGGATTTTATGCCTGGACCAAAGTATTGGACAAATTCAGCGTTGAATTTATAGAAGATTTTTTTTTTTTTTTTAAATAATTTCCCTGTAACCGTTGCGGTACTACCGTTTTATTTCTTTCAACGTTCTTCAGTTACTTCCAGAGTCGTATATTTCAATTTTAAGTAAAAGAAACAGAAAACCCATTGATCATGTAATAAATTTTATTTATGTTATGCTACTCATGAAAAAGCCGAATCAATAAGAATTTACATTGTGAGAACTGTTGTTTAAATGGATTGCCATGTAGGTTGACTCATTTGCATGAAATGATTTTCGGAGGAAGTGTTGATTTTTAAGTTTCAAGTTCAATCTCCCATCCCTCATAACTGTTACATAACTTTCACCACAATTAAAACCATAAGACATCATGCAAAATTTGTAGAAGAACAATTCACAGAAAATGAGGGCTGTGACTTGAGATTGGTAAAATGTACATCTCAAATTTGGTTCTTGAATTTTGAACATCAATCTCCTTCCTTGGTGATCGTTTGACCAAGAAGCACGTATAAAACGATGCGGAAAACAAGCAATCAAGAGGCAAGTGACTCAACCTCGTTTTGGGATTTTCAAATAAATTTTACAACTTAAAATTCCATTAAAAAAATGCAAGCACATTTTATAATTAATGACAACTTTTGATATACTTCATATAAACTCATGAAATTTATATCATATATACATGGTATTGTTGATAAAATATCTGTAATATTTCACTTCGTTTGGATTCGTATTTTGGAAGAAAAATCAAACCTTGTTGAGAAAATTGAACCTCCATTGCACGATAACTTTCTACAGTTAAGGTTTTGAGCTGTCCATTTGGTATAGTTGGATAAATCTTCTCAAGACCTTATTAAGTATAAATAAAGAACATTAATTTTGGCTTAGAATTGAAGAATATATGACCTTCCAAAGTTTGTTAAAAAATTTGCCCCTTTTTGGACGATGAACAGTAACTTTAAAAAATAAAAATAAAAAGAAAACCCACAGAAGTTGTTGCCATGTGGAGGTGATAATTATTCCAAATGCAATTTTCAATTGTTCCCACAACTATTTTTGGATGCTGATAATTCCAATATCAATTTAAAAAGTTGTATGTTGGTCCCAAAATTATTTTGAATATTGGTAATTCCAAATTCAATTTAGAATATTGATATTTCCAATATTCTTGATTTTTTATATGCAATTAAAATAATTTCAGATAATCAAAAATATTTTTTATTTTATATTATTGAAATAAATTAATAGAAAAATTAAAAATATTTTTTTACTTGATTAAATTCTGAAAATATTTTTATAAAATCGAAAATATTCATTTAATGGTATTTTCTTAGTGGGAGTCATTTTTTGAATTGCTCTCATTTTTCTGAAAATGATAAATACTTTGAGAGTATTTAAAATACCATGTTCTAGATAAGTTCATGAGTTGTATGGGTCTTGATTAGATTATGTGATCCATTATGACTAGTTTCTAATTTTTAGGATTTTCAGATATGGTTGGATATATGTGCACTTCTATCATCGTTAGAGGAGTTGCTAATAAAGCATGGGTATGGAATGTATTGAAAAATTATGTTCTTATTGAAATTATGAAATGGATCCACGACATACTCTAGTATAACACATAAAATATCTCGAATAATGCGTCAAAAAGTAATGCATTTGGGATAGCCTACATTTGAGGTGGAGAATATGTATCATCTAATAAGGACACTTCCTAAACATTAGCATGATATTGCTATTGAAATTCTAGATAATTCACCACCTCTATGTTACAACTATCTGATCGGGATTTTGATTAGAAAATGAAATTCAGAAAATAAGAATTTTATGATCAATTTAGATACGTATTTAGTTCATATTATCAAACAACATCTATGTAAACTTTTTTTTTCAAATCTAGCAGTTGAATAAAGAAGTTTAATATGATCACGTGTATAAATTTGACATTTTGAGATTTATATATTTATATTTCATGTTTATCACATATAGTCAAAATGTCTTGCTTGTGTTGTACATGATTAATTGTTTAATTGAGTAGGAGTTTTAAGATTGAAAGGGTTTAAGTAATTTTGACTTAGAATTTATGATTTTACACTATGATATAATTTTGTAATAATGAAACATTAGGATAATGGATGATTATGGGAACTTAGTGGACTTTCGATTCTATGTCTACTATTAATTATCATAAAACTTAATTTGCATGAGAGCAAAACGATATGTGTGCACAAATAAACATTTATATGATTGTCTCTAAAATTTTGGCAGACATGACATCTAAAAATATTATAGCTGACCTTAATAAAGGTGACAAATTGAATAGCGAGAACTATAATACTTCGTGCCATAAAATTTGATATATGTTGGAGGAACAAGATTGCCTTGAGGACATTAACTAGGTGATTGAAGATACGGGGGTAGGTCAACTGCTCAACAGAGAAGGGATCAGGAAACTTACTGGACATGAAAAAGAAAGATTTCACTGCTCGTGCAATTTTGGAAAGTTTCATGGTGGACGATCTCATTCATGAGTTTGAACAGTTCCTAATTGCTCATGACATCTGGACATATTTTGAGAGAGAAATATAGTGATATTAATGTAAATAGACTTGTAAAGTAAACATTAAGTTTGATACTTACAAGAAACTTCCTAATCACAACATCTCACAGTACATGAGGATCATGTCTACTATGATTAGGGAGCTAAAGTCAATTGGTCACATACTCTTCGATAAGCAGCGAGATCACGCTTTTGTGGCTGAACTTAGTTCTAGAAAAGCTTCAAGCTTTAAATGTAAGAAGAACTGGTTCAAAGGCGGGAAGTGAAGAAAAAAGAAACTGGACAAGGACATAAAAAAAATACCCAAGCGCAACGAGAAGAGTAAATAGTTGGAAAGAAGAAAGAAAAACGCAAGCTGAAATACTTCAACTATCAGGTGCTGGGTCATTTTGCTCTAGAATGCTCTAAGCCAAAGAAGGCAGCTCTTATAAATACTTCTTTTAGCGCTGTTTATATTTCAAGCTCTGTTATGCTAACTGAATCTTATCTTATATAGATTGTAGACTTAGAAGTGACAAACCATGTAACCAGAGATCAAGAAACGTTTGTGAAGTTACCTCAGTTTTCAACGAGGTCAAAGTGGATATACGTCGTCAACAATGATAGAGTGGATGTGAAAGGGATCGGTACATGCAAGTTACATTTACATGGTGGCCATGCTATTCTCTTTCATGATGTCCTTTTTGTACCAGGGATACAAATGAACTCAATTTTCTTTGTTGTTCCTTTAAGACTGGGTTTCAATTTGAACTTTTGTGGTAACTCTGTTCGTATAAACAATAGTAATGTATTTTATGGACTTGGACATGTGGAAGGTGGTTATAGTGTCGGACTGTGATCTTGACACCTAAAATTATTATGTTGATCGTTGTTTTTCTGTGAACTTATCTTCTTCTTCTTCTAAATATTTGAATATTGATACATATGTATGGCAGGCTAAATTATAACATATTGGGTAAGAGAGAATGAATAGGTTAGCTAAAAAAGTCTTGTTAGGTTCAATCTCTAAAACTTCGTTACTTACTTGTGAACATTGCATAATCAAAAAAACAACATAAAAACCATTCGATAAAGCTATTTAGATATATGTGGCCCTATGAATGTGAGGGTAAGACCCTCTTATTTCATTACTTTTATAGACAATTTCACGTGGTATAGTTACATATATTTGATTTCTCATAAGTCAAAAGCATCATAATGTTTTAGACAATATTTACATGTGGTAGAAAATCAAATAGATAGAAAGTTGAAAGATTTAAGAATTGATCAGGGACGTGAATATCTATCCAAAGAGTTCAAAGAACTACGTAATGATAAGGGAATCATTAGACAGTTAACTATTCCCAACACACCTTAACAAAATGATGTTGTTTAGAGGAGAAATAGAACATTTCTAGAAATGATGAGGTCCATGATGATGCAGGCTAACTTATCTATTTCCTATTGGGAAGATGCTTTGTTAGCTGCGACCTATAAATTCTTATTAGAAATCTCTCTAAATCGGTACTTACTACACCATATCAGCTTTGGACAGGAAATCCCCTAATTTAAGTTCTCTTAAATCTTGGGGATCAATTGCCTATATATATGATTCTTCAAGTAAGTTTGGAAAATTAAGTCCGTGGGACAAGAAGTGTACCTTTATGAGATATTTAGTGTAACGCCCCGAAAATTTTAGAATAAATTTATTTTAAGGAGTAGGATTTTGTAATACCGCACTATTATTTCTCGTGATTATCATGTCTATTTAAATTAATTGCATTAATACTATTTAGATTTTTGTCATGACTAACCATACTCTACAGTGGAATGTATCGTGGTCGCCCTAAATGATCGACGTGCCAACTAAAACTCATTATGATATGCTTATAATTCAATTAAACATATTAATGCATTATGTGATATTTATTTTATAAAAAGCTCAACGTTATAATTTGCAATTAGATATATTGAACTTAGACTTGGCCATAATGATATTTGTATCTTTCTTGTTAATCTAGATAAACTCTTAATTGGGTTTATAATTAGACCGTAAATAAGGTAATGAACCAACCACGAGTTAACTTACTGGATTTGATGAAATTGCTAACTAGTTTATTAGCACGCTTTTTTTACCCTTAAATTAAGTGTCCTAAAATTTGAATGAAAGCCTTTCACCTTCATTTACTAAAAAAAAATAAAAATCTTTCTATCCACTTATGTTTCACGTTCCTGGAATTTTATTTTCGCTAGAATAGTTAATTTATTTTATGTACTTTCCTAATTAAATTCTTTTTTTATTGATTTGAATTGGTAATGACTAATTTAAGGTGTTATTTAAGTAAATGAGGTAAAAATTGGATGTTAAAATTTATTAGCATAAATT